ACAAATGAAAACTTGTAATTCAAAAGTCAAAACACACTACTATTGAACTCACTAAACACTGACTGAAGTCTAAAAGGAGAGAAAGGGTAGAAGAAGCTTCAATTAACCTGGAGTACTTACCTAATGGCAGTAGTGAGAAGTGGTTTGTCAATAATGACTGGGTATGGAAATGTAGGAAACTCTACCAATAAGAGTTAGAATGGCTGAATAAATGAAACCTTCAGTCCAATGATAGATGGATTCCAAGAAACTCAATTCACTATCAATGGCCCTCAATGACTGTAAGAAAGGAATGTAAGCCAGACCCAGAGAAACATAAGTTACATGGTTCTCTGAGTGCAGTGGTATAATGTACCTATAAAATCTACAAGTAAATAAAATCAATGGTGAAAGACAAACCATTTGGACATGATAAGTTACACAGTCTCTAGGCATTCCTCACAGTGAGAACAAAAGAGAATAATCTCAGAAAAGGAATATGAAGGCAAGGTGCAATACCTATGTGCAACTGATGATATAAAACAAGATTTGTCTAAATCCACTGCAGGAAACAGAGAACAGGTTTTAATTGTATATTGCTGTTTTGGTTTACCATTTCCTTGTTCACTCATGTGTCTTAGGGTGGGCATGAAGCCACAGAAATGGTGGAATAATGGGTAAACAAAAGAAATGGTTGGACGAAAGTTAATTGTGTGGAATATAAACTGTAGAACAGGTAGGTGCAGATGGGAGGGAAAATAGTGAAGAAATATATTCTTTGGTGCTGGGAAGATGGTTCAGTGGTAGAGTGCTTGCCTTGCATGCATGAGGCCCTGGGTTCGATTCCTCAGCACCACATAAGCAGAAAAAAAGCCAGAAGTGGCACTGTGTCTCAGGTGGTAGAGTGTTAGCCTTGAGCTGAAGAGCTGAGGGACAGTGCCCAGGCCCAGGGTTCAGGCCCCATAACCAGAACTCCCCCAAAATAAGAAACATATTCTTCATCTTACTTATGAAACTATAACCCCTCTGTAAATCATTTTTATAAAAGCAATAAACAACATATGGAATGGAAAACAATGAGTGGAATAAGGCAGTCCATGGAAATGAAAGCCAAAGGAACACAAAAGTATCCACAATGTATCACACGAAATAGTTTTAATCAAAACAACCAAATGTGATAAATTTCTAATGCAGTGATGATGGGATCAAATCAACAAGATGTCATAACCATTGCGAATATCTAAACACTTAACTCTCTTTAAGCCAATTTTGAGATAGTACTAATACAATAATGGCTGAGGATTTTCTAAAGATCATACAGACAAAATCAACAGTGAGTTATAAGAATTAAATTTTATCCTTGATTTGATGAGCTTCATGCACATCTACAGAACATTGTCCCCGATGTCTAAATAAGTCATTTTTCATCAACATACTGACCATTCTCCAGAAGAGATTATGGGATAGGAAATAAAAGAAAGCAGATTTTTAAAATTCTGAAAGTATATCACGCACTCAAACAGATAACACTGTAATTAGACTAGAAATTAACATGGAAAATATGCACACAACATGAAAATGAAGTGAGTTATTTTTCAACCATAAATAAATAATTTAATGTAATCAAAAGCATTCAAGTTAAGTGGTTAATGCATGATTAATAAGCTGCTTTGCAAGGAAAATTTCAAGAAATAAACTGATCATTTAAATAAATAAAAATCAAAACAGTATTGGGAATTCTATAGATATAGAGGAGAAATAAAATGAAGCTGTAACAACCTTTGTGAAATCATGAGTACAGATATTTTACTAAGGAACCTATGCTGCATCTACAGGAACTAAAAAAAGAAACTCAAACTTAGTGGAAGGAAGGAAAGAATTAAGTAGGAGAAAAAGAATTAGAGTATAAAAACACAATAGCAATAATCAATAAAGAAAGAGTAGATTCTACAAAAACAACAGAGTGATAAGACTGAACTAGAAATCGTGAACCATCTAGGGGGAAAAATACACATGTCTGCACATAACTCCATGCCAGAATCAGTATGGTGAAAATAGCTACATGATTGAAAAGGCATCTACAGTTTCAGTTCACTTTCTATCAAAATTCCTATCACTTTCTTCACAAAAACAGAAGTGGCAAAATGAAATTTCATGAAAAAGGAAATCCTCAATTATCCGGAGCTATCTTCAGACACAAGAGTAATTCTGAATAACCTTATACCTATTTTACACTTCTACTGCCATGACAGAATCACCAAAAAATTCTGATAAAAACAGACACATAGATCAAAGAAACATAAGACAAAGAAGTAATTGTAAACAACAACAGTATCTGATTCTTGGAGAAGTTGCCAAATAATATATAGCCTAAACATGGCATCCTTAGCAAAAGGCATTGTGAAATAAGTATTCAGTGAAACACTGAAACTAGACCCTGCATATTTTTAACTCAAAATTAATTAGTTCATAAGAGAGACTGGAACTTTGCAAGTAATAGAGAAAAATGCAGTTAAACATACATACTGAAGTATCTAAAAAAGAACTCAAATAGCAATAAAAGAACAGCAAGGATTAAACTCTAATTTCACTAACTGATAGAATCCTTTGTCTCATTTGCAAGGCCCTAAATTCCACTCTGAGTACTGAAAATGTAAAATAGCTGTGGTTGTTTCCAGTTGAAAATCTTCAGAACAAAGAAAAAATCTGTAGGACAGAGAAATGAATAGTTAAAAATGTTGCTCTTATTCACCTCACAGAAGATTAATAGCAAGTGTCAACTGACTCAAAAACTTAAATATCAATAGGAACAAAATCCAAACAAAGAACAGACCCTTAAGAAATTAAAAAGTACAAATAAAAAATCAATAGTGAAAGAAGTATTCCACCATTTGAGCAACTCCTCAGTTACACATCAACCCTGACAAAATTTGCATGTTCATTGATAATATATAACAGTTACAAATTGGAGATTCCTGAAGAAATTAAAACTGCTTCTACTGTTGGCTTATGCCTGCAGAAAAGCAGAGAAACAAGGATACTAATCAAAGCAAGGTGGGGCAGACACTCTTTCTCTCCAGTCAACTAAGAAAAAGCTAGAAGTGGAGGGCTAGCTCAAGTGGTAGAGTATCAGCTGTGAGGGCAAAAACCAAGCAAGAGTACAAAGCAAGCCAATCACTAGTGCCTTGTTCCTAATTACCTCCGAAAGAAATTAGAGATATGGGAGAGAAAGAAGGATGTCAGACAAGATATAAAAAAGAGTGGGTGAATGACATCAAAGTATATGACATGAAGTGTGGAAACACAACTGGAACCAGTTATTTGGGACAAGCAACATATTATATCCAAATTAGTAAATATCACCTTAACGTCATAGGGCACAGATTTGAAGCACATCTCTCACTACTTATGTCTAATTGCAAGGCTCTATTTATGTACAAGAAAGACTTATTGGATAAATCTTGCTGTCTGTAATCAATACCATGCATAAAATGTTACTGAATCTGACCACACTTTACTTCATATATGTGGGTAGCTAAGAAAACTCCACTGGCTGAACCATAATACCTAATTGGACTATATTAGCATGCTCACAAAAGTACTCAAATATAGTTTTTGGTATTAAGAGAATGAACATCAGCTGAACATGAGTAAAGAGTGGGGAATAAAAATGATGAGCTAAACTAAGCACTAGTGGCTCATGAGTGTAGTCTTAACTATTTAGGAGACTGAGATCTGAGGATAGTGTATTGAAGCCAGCTTGGGCAGGAATTTAACTACCCAAAATGCCAGATGTGAATCTGTGGCTTAAGTGATAGAGCACTACCTTTAAGCAAAACTGTTCAGGGATGATGCCAAGAATCTGAGCTGCCAGGAGTAGCACAAAAGTAAGATAAACATACCAGTGACATATAAAGTAAGAACTTATACCATCTATAGCATAGAAGAGAGTAATTCCTATCTTGTGATCTCTGCTCTCAAATGTGGGCAGCTCTCTCAGGCTATACCTGTCACACCAGTTCTTGAAAAGGAGTGCCCATGACAGAGACAATGACATTTGTCTTGAATAGAAATCAGCTTGCTAAAATTTCTAGAAGTTCTTTACAGTCATTCTTCTTTTCTTACTATTTTTTGGTATAGCTATTTCTAGTGATACTGAGTGTTAGAGACCAAATTCCTGATTATGCATGTGCACAAGTAAAGCATATCTCATTCTGGGCAGTTAAAACTAACCCTCAAGGATTCTTTGATAATGCTGAGCTGCCTGGTTAATGCGTGGTTTGTGGAGCCTAGCTGACATATAATAATGATACAAGGCTTATTTTGGAAGAGAAACTACTTGTCTATAGTAAGAATGTGTATGTGTGTTTGTGTTTATGGAAATCCTGTGGTATGAAATTAGTGCCTGGACAATGTCTTTGAGATTTTTCGCTCCAGGTTTACACTCTGACAATCCACAGCTTCACTTCCAGCTTTTGGCTGGTTAATTGGAGATAAAAGTCTCACAGATTTTGCTGCCTGGCCTGGCTTCAAATCTTGATATTCAGATATCAGTGCCATGAGTAGTTAGGATCATAGTCATGAGCATCCAACTTACAATACGAAATTTTATCAATGTTCTCAAAATATAGGTGTTACTAAAGCAAAGTTCTCATAGTACTAGCATGGGAGGGGGAAATATAGGCTCAGCCTTTCAGTAAAGAAGTCATGCCAGTGACTCCAGTTGAGTGTGATAACATCACTTCACTTTATGCAATCACAGCTGAAATGAAGGATAAACAGGGATGCTTAAGTAATAAAGTGAAGAATATATAGACCTGGAAAGAAGAAGTTGTATGGAATGAAAGAGAATCCTCTCCTAGTAGCAGGCAGAACATCAGTACATGTTAAACAAAACAGTGAAACTAAGCTATTCCTAGAACAATAGGGATGAAGAGCAGTGTGAATGGAGAACATTAATGTGTGCACCCAGAGTTCTCTCAACCATTGTACATCTTCAGATAAAATGATGAGTTACTTACGGTGTAAGGTCACCTTGTCTGGAATCTTCACTGTTACCACGATTAAATTGCAAAATGTAGAGAGGGAAAAACCCAGCGATCATCACATCTCCATCCATGTGTGCTCGTTGCTTTATTGTGGAAAAGCAGCTAGTGCCAGCCAAGGACCTAACAAGGAGGGGAAGCTGGAGAAGAAGGAGGGTGATAGTCATAAGGAACATCCCTGAGTCCTCTGCCAAGCAAAAATTCTGGCTGGAAGTGAGACCCAAAGTTTTAGATACATATCTTCATAAATCATTTTATTTGTTCCTATGTGTCTTTTTTGGACAGAGATCTACATTATAGCTCACTGTCCATCAAAGATTCTTGTGCATCCCCTGAAGTAATTTGTAAAATTATTCCCTGCAGCTCTTCACCTGTGGCCTTCATCCAGGAGAAAAACATGAGCTGGAAGCATGTTTACAGGTTAGCCTTCTTCACTCCAGATGCTATGATTTCCTTCAAGCTCATAGATAGTGAGACCCCAGAGATTGAGTTATCTTTGAAGTTTAGTTTTGTCCAACATCTGTGTCAAGACACTATTTGCCTGCAAGCCATCTGGGATGATGCAACTGGATTTCCTCAGAGTATGCAATGTGCTGTGCATGGTGAAATGTCCAGAAAAAATCTATGCCTGTGAGATGTCAACTAAAGTTATGAGGGCATCATCCTATTCACACACAATGTTGATGACAGCCACAGAATATCGGTGGTCGATAAAAACCACTTTCAATAAGTATTCCATGTGTAGTAGACCCCACAAATGCCCCCCCATTTAATGTTAACTGAGGATGCAATGATGTTGCAGAAACCAACCGTACATATAATTTAGTACAGAAATGCAATCGTTCAAAACCGCATGATTGTCTTGACTGATGAAAAAAAAACAGGCTTCTATCTGTAACTGTAGATACTCAGGAAGCTGGGATGTGAGAATTGTGGTTCGATAACATCCCAGGGGGTAATATCTTTGAGTGGGTTAACTTCAATTAACTACCAAAAATAGTCTGAAACAGTGCTGTGGCTCACCTGGAGAGCATTGTCCCTGAGCACAAAAACCCAAGGACAGTGTCTGGTCCCTAAGTTCTAGCCCCAGGACTGGCACATATGTACACATATGTTTATGTGTGTCTGTGTGCATACTGCCCCCCCCAACACCACACATAGATATGGACCCAAATATCACATCTTTGCAAATGATACCCTATAGTTTAAACAGCCGAAAGATTCTAACAGAAGACTTTACCTCAAGATAAACTCACTGATGAATCAGAGGTCCATGTAATATGCCATCTGCCACAGCCTCCACAGACAAGTACTGGAAACTTTAGCTAATACACTGAATTCCTTTGCCAGTCTTGAAAACCAAAGTGTATAGAAGAAAGAACCAGAGAAGATAATATAGGATGACAGAACTCCCCTTTTCTTGGATGAGAATAACAAAAAAATCAACAAAAATGAATGGTGGGAACAAAACACACGTCATGCCTTCAGTTGGAGGCAATGGGTTAATGGAGATTGCTAATATCTTCACCACAATCAAAGTATTGATATACATTTTTGAAAATAGGATCATGAAACTTGTAGAAATTATATTAAGGAAAAGGGGGTATTTGGAATGTATCTAAAAAGAGATCTTATATATATGGAACATCAAAATACATTAAAATGTCTTTAAATTCTTCTGTTTTTTACTTTTTTAAATTTTAACTTATCTTGAAGTCACTATACAATGGAGTTGCCTTTGAACAAAGCAGTATTGAGATCTTATATATATATATATATGGAACATCAAAATACATTAAAATGTCTTTAAATTCTTCTGTTTTTTACTTTTTTAAATTTTAACTTATCTTGAAGTCACTATACAATGGAGTTGCCTTTGAACAAAGCAGTATTAACTCATCCCTCTCTTACCCCCCTCTTCCTTCATCTTCATTTTGTGGAATCCACATTGGATATATGTCTACATTCTCACTTTCTCTTCATTTGTCCAACACTTTCCCCTGACTTAACCCTACAACTTTTAAGTACTTGCTTCCTGGTATTTTATTTTGCAAAACTTTGACTTTGTCATTATAAGGAATTACAGTATGTGAGTTCTTCCTTATATCAACATTATTTCAGTTAATACATTTGAATACACTTGCATACTATCCAACACACTTATTTTATAAGCTAATTCTACCTTCCATGTATACTTTATTTCTCTGCACTTGACTGACTTCACTTAATATAATTTTATCATGTCTTTCCATTTCATTACAAATGGTATATCATCCATTCTAATGATGATGAATGAAATTCCCATTGTGTATATAGAACACATTTTCATGATCCATACTTGCATTGAACTGCATCTGAGTGGAATATATAACTTGGCTATTGTGAATAGTACTTCAATAAACATAGTTGTGCTGATAGATTTAATGTATTCATGTTTGTAATCTATTGGGTACATGCCCAGGAGTGGAATTGGTGGATCATAGGGTAAATCTATGTAGAATTATTTTTCTGTTTATCTTTGTGGGCTTTCCACTCAGGGTCTGATCTCTTATTCTCACAGATTGTGCCCTACCAACTGCCAGTGCAGTTCCTCTTCTGGTTTTCTGGTGGTTTCTTGCAGATAAAAATCTTTTCACTTTCCTGGCAGGGCTGGCTTTAAACTTCCATCCTTACATCTCAGCCTCCATAATAGCTGGGATTGCAGGTGTGAGCCTCTGATGACCAGCTATGTTTAAGTGTTTGAGGAAAGACAATGATTGAGGAATAATTATGTTTGAGAATCTCAGAAATCATTATAAATTTTTTACTCTGAAACTGTCAGTTCACTTTCCTACTACAACAAGGCAAAGAATTTCTTTCTTCCACTCACCATCACTTTGTGTCTTATGCCAGCCCTTCTTACACTTTTTTCTTCATTTTATCCTCTCTTGTTGAGATGAAAACTCTATGTGGTTTGATTTGCATTTCATTAATATTTGAAGTTGAACATATTTCCCATCAATTTGGCCATTTAAACCTCTTGGAAACTGTGCATAGATTTATCACATATTGACAGAGTAAGCTATTTTATTTTGTCGGTCCTGGGGCCTTTATTCTGGGCCTGCGTGCTCTCCCTCAGCTTTTCAGCTCTAGGCTACCACTCTACCACTTGAGCCAAGCACCACTTCCAGCTTTTTCTGTTTATGTGGTGCTGAGGAATCGAACCCAGGGCCTCATGCATGCAAAGCAAGCACTCTAACACTGAGCTGCCTTCCCAGCCCAGAGTAAGCTATTTTTAAAGTTTTTTCCTTGAGTTCTTGAAGCTCTATTTATGTAATTTGGATATCAACTTCATATATTGAAAATGTTCTTTCGCATTCTGTACATTTTTCTCTGCACATTGTTCAGTGTTTCTTTAGGAGAGTAGATTTTGATTTGGGGGTAATTGCCTGTTTCTATTCTCATTTCCTGTGATTTTGAGGTTTTTCTCAAGATAATTCCTTCACGATTCCAATATTGAGCTTTTCCCTTGAGGTTTCCTCCAGTAGTTTCAAAATTCTAGGTCTCAAATAGGAGCATTTCATCCATTTTGGCTGATAGTAACGAACAGGAGGTGGAAGTAGGATGATGCTTCATTGTTCCTTTCCTAGATATCTAATTTTTAGACTCCATTTCTGGAACAAAACTTTGAAACTGCCTTCTTTCCAATGCTTTTGCTTATCTTGGCAAAGATAAGGTTATAGAACTCTGTATTATGTGAATGCTATAGTGATTCTTAATTTTTTATCTTTTTTCTTATTACACGGTTGATGTGCAAAGGGTTTCCAATTACATGAGTTAGGTGATGGGTGCATTTTCTTTTATATAGTGTGCTCTGTTCCCTCAATCTCTCTCAGACCCTCCCTCTTATCTCCAATCACAAATTGTGCAGTTCAGCTTCATCAGTGTCCTGTGAGCTCCTCTACTATACTTTGTCACTCTTTTTCTCTCAAAATCTTTGCTCTCTCCTCCTCCCTCTGGAAGATAATCACATGAGCACACCATACATATGGGAAAGAAGACAGAATTATCACAAACTAAGAACTAAAACAAAATATGGCATGTGTTTCCATATCTTGAAGTTTGTATCAGTATCTATATTATTTTAAATAATTAGGAAAAGGCACTTAGGCATTGTGCCTTGGTGATTCTCTCCTAGAAGTTTCCTCTTTTGTTCTCATTGTATGAGAGTATTTAGAATCCTGTATAATTTGTCACATTCCAGTGCATTTTACATCTAGCTTACAAATATCAGAGAGAACATGAACCATGTGTTTTTCTTAGCTTGGCAACCACACTTAACATGATCTGTTCTAGTTCCATCCAATTCCCTACAAATTGACATTATTTTACTCTACCTAATGGCTGTGTAAAATTCCACTATATCTAAGTATCACATTGCTTTGGATCCACTCATCTATTGCAGGGTATCTGGGATGTTTCCCTATCTTGCCTATTTTGAATACTGCGATGATGAACATCGATGTGTAGGTGTCCTTATCATATCCTGGCTCATGATGTTCAGGATATAGATCCCTAGGATTGGTATCACTGGGTTTTTGTGAAAGGCTATGATTAGTGTTATGAGGAATCTCCAGGCTGCTTTTTAGAATGGTTGTATTTATGATCACAACAACAGTGCAGTACATTTCTTTTTTCCCTATATTCCAACCAACATTTGCTATTTAATTTCACAAATGTTGGCCAGTTGTACCAGGGTGAGATAGAATCTCATAGTTGTTTTGATTTTAATTTGCTAAACAAGACTGTGCTAAAGCTACCAGAACAAAAATATTTATTGCAGCATTATGTACCATAGCTAAGATATGGAACCAATCCAGATGCCCCTCAGTAGATGAATGGATCAAGAAAATGTGGTATATATACACAATGGAATTCTATGCCTCCATCAGAAGGAATGACCATTGCCCCATTTGTTAGGAAATGGAAAGGCTTGGAAATAATTATATTAAGTGAAGTAAGCCAAGCCCAAAGAAACATGGGTCCCATGGTTTCCCTTATTTGCAATAACTAGTATATGTCTGAGTCAAGCAGA